ATTACCAACAGTAAAACGTTTCAAGGATGATGAATAAATGCTCTAAAACGAAAAACCATGGGCAAGGACTGATGATCCTACACAAACAACCTCAAAGCCTGAATAGACGTCAAACAAATTGATGGTGAGCGTATGGTGGTATTGGAAAGTAATTGCTCATTGTGAGCTGCTTCAACCAGCGGAAATTATCAATTCTGAGCTCTTATTTCAACAGTTAGTCAGATTACAATAAGCTCTTCAAAAAAGCGTTCAGTGTATTCATCAATAGAAAAGGTTTTGTGTTTCATTATGTCAACGATATAAGAATACAGCCACCGGTTGAAGTAGAGGTAAAGGAAGACCTCCACTCCGTTGGAAGGATCAGGTAGAGAAGGACTTAGGTGTACAAGGTGTTTCTATGAAAAAATTTCAAAGCAAAATCCAGTATTCCGAAATGCAGCTGGCAACTGAACATTTTTAGCGAAATGGTTGTCACATTTTCTTCAACAATTTAACAATGCACTAGAGAATAACACAAAAAATGTTATAATGTAACTCACAGGAAATATCTTTTGTTTTATGTATATTACTTATTTTATCCGCTTAATTTGCGTTCCGGCTTTTCTTTTGCCATTAGCTGAACAACATGTGTGCAAAATATGCTCAACCTCAATTTACATTACTTTTCTATTATCACATACATATGCATTTGTATGTACTGCTTTGTTTTCTTCAATGTCACATCACTTTTGCTGAACAAAACTACACACATACATATGTATATAATGATTTTGCAATTTCATTAAAAGCAATCAAGCAGAAGATAAAGTTATAGCATACTTTTAGGCAATTCGACATGAATTTTTTACGTGGTTCATTGCAATATGTAATTGGTTACGAGTACATATCCATGGGTTTTTTAAATATACATAGGTATATTATAGCAATCAGATGTTGACATGTACTGTCCCTACTTTTGGCTGCCTTCAGAGTAGGCTCAGCATACACGGCCACTTCCCTATTGTGCATAGCTGAGTATATTTTCTATGCACTTAAATATTTATGGTTACATACTTGTCTTATTATTGTATTTTGTAACACACATACGTACATATGTACGGACCGTACTTAATTTTTATTTGTTTAAAATGTCAAACACGGTTTTGCTTTTAACTCACAGTACCTGTATAGTAAAAATATTATATGTTAGGTATTGTATTCCCTGGATAGATATTATCAATAAGTGACACCGTTAGAAGGTAAAACTAAAGACAAACGCATTCAAACACATTCATGCGCATTATTTGTTTGTATGCATAAAGAAGATGCTCATTTATGTGAACATGCTTATGCACAACCACTCATGCAATACATATGAACACACAAATGTATCCATATGTATATATTGTACATAGGTGTAAGAAAAAAAGCTCGAATATCTTTTATTTCAACCTGATATGACTTCAACGGAATTTTGCAGGATTTACGCTTGTTGAAAAGGTATTTTCACTATCTTTCAGAATCAATACGATGTAGTAGATATAATACAAGATATCAAAAAAAATTTAATGAAAGAATCAGATGCTAATCAAGAAAATCAAAGGGGTATGCTACAAAGAAAATGTGATTTATTTATTTTATTTTGTTTATTTTATTAATTTTATCAGTATTGATTTATGTCGCCCGCGCATTTTAGCGCTTTATTATTCGCTCCGGAACAACTTTATCTCAAAACAAATTTGTAATACGTTATTAATTATGTAATTTCACTACGAGAGAATTAAAAAGAAGCAGTTTTTACTCTCTGTGGACAACATCCAACATCCGAGCGGCGTAAATCGCTGTGGCGCTGGGAAGACGTCAAAAACCACCTTGACACCTTTTTCAACGAGAAACCGCGCGATTTCCATGAATCAGGCATCCATAAATTGGTTGAACGTTGGGACTGGATTGCCGAACATGATGACGAATACATAATTGATCAATAAAAGCGCTTTTCTCAAAAAAATTTCAATTTTAGTTTGCACTTGAAATCGGGCACGAACTTATGCACTCATCCAATATATTTTATTCGCGTTATATAGTATTATTAATCTTGTTGCAAAACACAATGGAAATGCAAAGTATGAATCCCATAATGTTTAGTCCATATGAAATTATGATGAAAATATGACTTTTGGCTTGTGCAAATATGCTTTCTAATAGAGAACTCAATTTTTATTTTATTTATAAACAATTTTATCTTTGTTATTGCTTAATGTGTACATTTAAACTAGCATCTGTGTTTTGTTTAGTATTTCATCCCAAATATATTGTTTTCTGAATCACGTAAATATTTTTTTGCATTTGTTTTTTATGAGTATTCCAAAACCGGTTTTCTATGGTTGAAGGGCACTCGGCATTTTTCGCTTAGGCACTTCTTTTTCACTCGACACTAAAAGGGATAAATCCAAATTCTCTTAAAGTATATAAATTAATTAAAAAAATAAATTAAAAGTTGACCTCTCCATAAACGAAAGTTTGTCTCAAAAGAAACTTGGGTTAATGACGAAAAAAATTTATGGAAAACGCTATACCGTGTGCGTTTCCTAAGTTTTGTATTTAATTCTGGATTTTTTCAATGACAGAACATGGAAGGACATTTTGGACCAGTTAGCATGAAAATTAATTTTCGACTCAGCTTAGAGTTAAATTTTTTATTTTCTTAATAATAAAAAAATAAGTTGTGATCATTCAAAAATTTAAATATTTTAATGGGCAAACCAGGTTTCAATGAAGCAATTCGGATAATCAGCGCATATGGTTGTATTGTGTATATGTTTCGATATATTATATTTATTATTCACACATAAAGGGTGATTTTTTTTAGCTATTATCTTTTTGGCAACATCGGTTTAAACAGCTGGCGTACGTTTCGAGTTCGCTGAAAATGGTATTTCATGTTCGGAACCGATCAATTGGCTGCCTAGATCGTGCGATTTAACGCCTTTAGACTATTATTATGTTAAATCTAATGTCTATACAGATAAGCCCTCTCCAATTAACGCATTGGAGGACAACATTAAAGCATTTATTCATGAGCATGATATTGGACTAAGCGGATGGACCATTTTAGGCGCGATCACGGTAAAAATTTGCATGAAATAATCTTCAAACATTAAATTACTTGGACCGTACTAGCGACTCAAATAAAGATTTTCTGTATTTTTTGAATTTTATAAGTTTTTTTAATTTCCATAGCTCTTGGGTCTTTGGCGCTTTTTTTTAAATATGTATGTAAATATATTACTTTAAAAGTATATAATTAAACTGATATTATTACTAACTTATACTTCTATACCAAAGACGCAAAGTCGAGGGATTGGCATTCCGTGCTGCCATTCGGAAGGTCAGGAAGGCCAACACCAAAAATTTTAGAAAATTAATTTTTCTAATTGGTATTTCTGGCATGAAATAAAAAGCTGTCCATAAAAATCCACCGGCAGTTCGGAGAGGGCTTAGAATAAACTGTAGGTCCCTCGATTTGTTGGAGTTTCTGTGATTGCAGTTAAAGTTCTAGTATTGCGTCCACGTCGTGCACCCTGGAAACGTGAGCATCTCTAGTGCAAAATACAGTAAGCAACCCTTGTGGGCATTGAGCTACGGCTAAAAGAGATGAAGCTTTAGTAGAGCTACTCCGACTTAATCAGGTAAAGGATGAGATAACTACTTATTTAATTCATTGCTAGAGAAAATAAAATGAGCTGCAGAGCTTAATGGTAAAGACACAATTTTCTCTAAGAAGGGTACAGCTGCTAGCGTACGCTGATGCGAGTCTTGAACGAGGGCAAAACGAAATATCTCCTGTCATCACAAAAGTAGTCATAAACTTCGTTTATCTTGAAACCAGTTTTGGCATCATTAAGAATGTCAGCATGGAAATCCACTTGGAGTGAGTAGGCAATTGAAAAGTAAAGTAAAAACCAAATTCTTCTAGTAGTTCATCATTCACGTCCTGCTATATGGCGCGGAGGCATGGACGATGACAATATCTGATGAGTCGGCGTTAGGAGTTTTCGAGAGAAAGGTTTTGCGTAATATTTATGGTCTACTCAGGTTTCGGCGAATACCGCGAATCAAGAAACAGCGGCTGCGTTGACTAGATCATGTGGTCCAGGTTTATAAGAATACTCCAGCCCTGAAAGCTTTCCATAAGGTATCAGTCTATGGAAGCAGAGGGAAAGGAAAACCTCCACTCAGTTGTAAAAAATAGGTAGAAGAGGAGCTGCCTGTACCCATTCCGTTGTACGCTTCTCATTGATTTTCGACTTCTTAAATATATCATAATACTAAAATTATAGTTTTTCTTTTCTAATAAATGACTTTTATAAAAACCGTAACTTCATATAATCTTAACTCCCATAGCTTCTGTATTTCTCACGGGCTTGAGAAGGTACGCAACTGGGCACTAACTGTTAGTGACTGCAGGATGTCAGGACCTCAACTCTAAGGTCAACTACGTCAATCAGTAAAAAAAAAATCCTAAACATCGTCAAGCTTCCCACTAAATTGTAAGCCCCAAGGAAAATTTGTTTGTTTAGCAAGCAAATCGAAACTGTTGGTGTTAGCGACTATTTCTTTAATCAATTTGTTATGTAAAATTAGATTAGAATTTTTCTTTTATTATTATAAATACATTCTTTAAAAATTAAAGACTATAAATTGAAATTTTTTTGCTTAATCGGTTTGATTTCTTGTAAAATTCCAGGAACTAGTTATACCGTATAAATATTTAGGTGATGATTTTGTGATCGGAAACAACAATTAATCAATTGTAATTTTTTAATTGAAATTACAATTAAAGTTCGCCCAACACTGCGAGCCAATTGTGCATTCACAATAACGCATACCACAATAACAATTTCAGTGCAATGGCAGCCAAGGCCAGAAAAACTTCCAATTATTGCAAAACAAACGAATTGAATTGAATTGAATCTTCATCCTTTTTTGTCTCTTTACTCGCATTTTTAATTTAAACTCACCTTCAGCCTCTCCCCTTAAACAAATAATTTGTATCCAGATTTCCAGCAGCTTTCACATCTAATCATATGCAGAATATGTGTGCGTGAGTCCCATAATGAATCCCAAAGGTATCCTGGCAAAGGCGTTGGCGATCAAAAAAGTTCTGATTTTTCTACGTACGACGCCCTGTCGAGTTGACTTACAAAAACAACTTCTTTATAGCCAGCCAGCGGGGAGAAGTCACAGCAATAGAAAGATGTCCCTTTTCTGTGAATGTGAACGTTTGTGGCTATGGCTGTCCGTGTGGGACTAGTAGTATAACTCTTTGTGCAGCACAAAGTGACAAACACGAAAATATTCACCGTCGATATTTGATGCTGTCGCGACCATTGGCGACCGTCTCCACGCGAGTGCACGTTGTGTTAGTGTCATTACGTTTAGTATATAAATTTATAATAATGTATTTACAATACATCAAATTCAATTTTTCATCTCAACTAATTGCGTTTAGTTTTCACCAACTTTTTAACTCCTTCACGAAGCTTAGCAAATATTCATAAATATACATATGTACGAGTATATGTGTTTGTAAAGGCACTACGCCATTAAATAAATGTGACGAACTATGCTTGTAGTGGCTGTTTAGCTTTATATCTGTTTAAAATACTAAATAATCTCACGCTAATAAATATAATTATTATTTTTTTTTAATTCTGCATATTTTCCTGGTCTTTGTTTTTGAAGTATTTTCACAGAACACTCACACAATCAGCACTGCATATTTGTAATATTTTGGATAACTCTTGGCTTTCACGGATGCGAGCTGTTATAACCACGACGCGTTAAAAGTACGAACTGAAACATTTATCTCGAAAATGCTTAAACAAAGCATAAAAAAACATCCTTAAAGCTGAATCACATTGCTCTACTGTGTAAATGAGAGAGAGTGAAAGAGAGGGAGAGTATGCGTCGGCGTATAAGCAACATTATTGCCAGATTTTTATAATTTATATTACATTTTAATACAACAACATTTTAGATTTTTATTATTTTTCCAGGATATTTATATAAAACACGTTTTCAATAAAACCTAATTTCATATAAAATATGCAAATGACTTCTTAAAAAAATGTTGTATCTGTACAGAATGCATGTAGGTGGGTGTTATATCTCGGCGAGCAGTGACCTCATTTATAGTTGATGAACGAGAGCACATCAGTCATGTCGGACCTGATTTTGAGTATATTATGCGAGCTGATATGAAAAAACTGATCATATGCTTTCATTAGAAAGTAGAATTTAAAAATAAAAAGAAAATGTATTTAGAAATTATACATTAAGAAAATATCAGGTACAACATGAATACCTTATCTACCAGGGTCCTGATGGAAGCGTTCTCTTTGTTTTAGGTAAAAACAGAACAGATGAACATAATCAGCATTTCTTCGACTAATTGTCTCATTTAAGTTACCCAAAACGGTTTGCGTAACAATGAGAAAAAATTATTATTAATTAAATAAATTAATTACTTGAAGTACTTGATCCTCATAACAAATGCCAGCGTTCAATTTCTAGACTATTTTGGTTAAGAGCGTTGTCAAATTGAGACATAAGCTCAAGTTTTACGTGCAAAGGTGAAGAAATGTTTTTTTCTTGTAGATCTAAAGCTGATTTAAGAAAGTTTTTTGCATCAAGAACATTGAATCATTCCTATGACTATATCTATCCTGACTATCCCAGAATTTATGGGTATTTTGTATAACCAATCGGATCGACCAACCAAAAAAAAATACAATTTTCAAGTCCACACAAATTACGTAACTACATTGAAAATAACTTTTTTCAATTACTTTGTATTCTCCTTTCGAAAAAAGAACCATTTGTGTTTGAGCGATATATTTTTGCCGATTATAATAACTATTATTTGAAATTTTAGATAAATATTACAATACTACTATTAAGCATAAAAATTTTGAAATAAAAAAATAGGAAATAATACATTTGTATCTGTAGCTTTTCTAAGTAAAAAACAAAACATTTTTAAATTTCTAATCTCATTCACCTCTACTTTTTTTTACTAGTACTTAAAAGTTCACCCTCTAATTTTGAGGTTACCACTTTCTTCTTTCTCTGCCCCTATGCACACCGTGTTGCAATTCATTCATGAAAATCGTTCATGCTCCATAGATTCTATCAACCACCATCCAAACGTTAATATAACCTCTCTTACTGCATTGAATAAGAGAAACTCTCAATTGACTGTTTACAGGCTTTTATTCTCTCTGTTAATGTCGTTGAAATTCATATCCATATACTGCTGGTTCAACTGCACAAAATTTAGGGAAAAGTGTCTACAACAACGGCCTTTTTATTATTTCAATCTTCATAAAAAAACAAATTTCGATTTTCATTCAGAAAAATCGGTTGATTAGGTATTTATTTATATAATGAAATAAGCTTAGTGGTTGTCTTGGCCTTCTAGATAACAAAAATTTAATTTCAACCGAAAGTATTTCTGCAACAAACTTAAATTTAAAATTATTTAAAAGTAGGACAGCAAAATATTAAATGCGCCGTTAGTTAAGCGTTCATTTATTACCACGGCAAGACAATAAATACAATTCCTCTCCACTTAAGCGGATTCTTTTTCTGCTAACACCAACGGGAATTTTACGGATTTTAATATTACTGTGGCTTATCCATATCTTCTAGTGCCTTCTCCTTGAGTGTTGATATCTTTCAATTCTCTATATAAAACAACATGACAGAAATGATGAAGGACTTGTTGGATTTGATCTTTGTAAGAAAATTTTAATTTTTTAACTGCCACTCAATCTGTTATAAGTAAATTTGCGCTTGCTTTCAGGGCTTACATTATTCATGTTGTTAATACTAAATACTTGCTTCATATAGGAAATTGTTTAAAATTAGATTTTGCGACTATCGACAGCAAAGTGGAAACCAAGACACAACCCGATATTCCCATAGTACCAGGCCTGTTCAACCAATATTACAAATTTTGTATTTCTTAAAAAAAAAATTTTCAAAAAAAAACCATTTTGTCTCCTTCAAGTTAATTGGCCCCGGGCTTTTTTCCAAACTCCAAAGCACATAAAAATTAATTTTTTATAACCATGTTCAGCCCCTTGACCGTAGTCCAACGTCATTCTTTCATTGGCCGCTTCAGTTTTGGTCAGTTTTGCGAACAAATAGTCCAACCATCTTTGATAATGACTTCGTACGTCATTGTAAGTAAAAGGTTTATTTCGAAGGTGATAAGTTAGGTGTAAAAGAATAAATGTGTCCTAGAAAAATAGTGACCCTAGAAAATATAAACATCATAGTTCACTCCTTATCCAACTAAATTTTCAATAAATGAACAATTATTTCAAAATAAATAAATTATAATTTTCTCAATTGGAACCTTTTTTCGAACCGCCAGCATTTTTAGTGTATTCAAGGCCTAAATCTCCACTGTCAGTAAAGCTGGAAAACATTGGAAACGAATGTTAAGGATGATAATTTGTATCATCAATTACAGCAAAAAAAGTTCTATACAATAGAAGCTCTGGGCTCGAATATAATAAAATTAAAAACAGTCAGAGCTTTTAATCTCGTAATCCCTAAATAGTGTGGATTATCTGCTCTTTGGATCCGATGTCGCAGTGAAATAGAAGGAAACTGCAGGACAGTTACGACCAAGAAAAATCTCCCGGATAAAGAGTTAACAATGTTCTTTTAGCATACACCTAAAGGTGTCGATACACGACCTACCCCTAGCTTTTCCTCTACCTTTTGATGCCTTCTACATCACAGCGACTGTTCCAATAAGATTTCTACGGATTATTGTTTCGTTGAACAATCTAAAACAAAAAACGGTTCATAACAATTGGTGAGTATAATTTAATGTACGAATTATTATGGTTAATTACAGTTAAAAATCTTATACTGACTTACCAATGCTAGAAGATTTTGTCTCGTTATAAAAAATGCATTCAATTAAAACAATTAAATTTTTGTGCTTATGAATTTTTATTAAATTTCATTAATATGAGTAAACATTTTTCATTAATTTTTGCTAGTTCTTTGAGTTATTATTATATTTACTATTTCCCGTTAAAATATGTATGTAATTCATTTTGCATTCACATACATATAAGACCTTTCATATTTCCATTTATGGACTGAGTTACAATGCCTGCCCATTCATTACACATGCAATAATATTTCAAAGCCGTAACCAACACATTTTCAGACCGCATTCGATATTCGATATTAAAACGAACACCGTATTTATTTGAGTATCATTTTTAACTGATTATCTGTATTTGCTATCCAATTGTATTATAATAAATTCATACATACACCGTTTTGTAATATACTTTTGGTTTTTTCTTTCACTTTTTAACATGCCTAAGTAAAAGTGTGTGTGTGTGTGTGTGTGTTACTTTATTATATTATATATGTTTATTTTCAATCCGATATTCTTTTCATTCCATTTATGATCTTCACAAATATGAAACTTTACCAAATCGTAATTAAATGTGAGATTATGCAAGTATTTTAACATTGTAATATTTATTCATAGTATGTACGTGTATGTATGTTTGTATTAATTATTGATTCATGTTTCTTCCCACTAGCGTATTACAATTTGATTGATTGGCTCTCAACGATAGTTTACTAATATTTCAATCATATATGTATGAATGGGTTCATTTCATTTCACCATTCATGAGCATTGCTAATAAATTTATGGAGTAATACATACCAGAGTGGAATGCACACATATATTGTACTTGTATATATGTATTTATAATTTTAATAATTTTAGTTATATATAATTATAATATAATAATAATTATAGTTAAATAAAGTTTTACAAGTGCAGCACAAATAAGGCAATAATAGTTTAGTATTTTTATTCTCTTCTTACATAATATTATATATATCCTGATTGTTGTACATTACATTGTACAATTATATGTAATATAATACATAGTTGAAATGAGAACATATTGCGACGCAAGTAGAAATACTTGAATTATCACATTTTCAAGCAATAAACACTCACACAAACATATAACTTAAAAACTGTGTTTATAAAGGACGGAAAAAAATTGCTATTCATACACAAGTTTACATTTCTTCAAGAATTAAAAAGCTTTATCGTTGTTTTGGACCTAGTTTTAAAAGCTTAGTACTGAATTAAAAAATATACAAAAATAATCAATGAAAAATAAAAGAACACAAATTAAATAAAATTAAGTAAAAAAAAATTAAAACAAAATTAAACTAAATAAGACTGAATTACAAAATTAAATCAAACTCAATGAAATAAGTATAAATAAATACATTATTGTTCATATAAATCAAACTTGATTGAGTCTGTATTTATTTTTTTTAATAAAATTCAATAGAAAAAATATAATGAACAGAAAATATAATCTGTTTTATTAATTACTAAACTCAAATTAAATTAAAGCAAATTAAAATTAATACAATAAAACGAAATAAGAACGAAATAAGCAATATTTAGTTTAAATGACAATAAATGAAAATAAACTTAATTGCTCTAACTTGTATCAGAGAATAGAATAAAATTGAATTTAACGCTTTGTAACCGCTGAAGCACTTTCTGCTCCTCCTCCAATTTGTGGTTCTTGCATTTTCAAGTTTCTCTAATCAATAGAGGGACCTACAGTTTATACCAAGCCCCCACCGAACGGCTGATGGTTTTTTAATGACGAGCTCTATTTCATGTCAGAAATACTGAAATGCACTTGGAGGGGTTGACATTCCCTGCCGAGGAAAGATCGCAATTAGAAAATTTAACTTTATTTTTTATTTAAATTAAATTTCTATGAATTTTGGATGTTGGTCGTACGGGGTATTGAACCCGAGCCTTCCGAATTGTAGTACACAATACTAAACACTCGGCTACCGCGGCCGCCAATGAAATTGATTACAATAATTTAAATTAATATAAAATTAATTAAACTGAATGAAAATAAATTCAGCCAAATGAAATTAAACTAAAATGGGTTAAATTGAATTTCATTACATTAATTTGAATAATATTAAATTACATAGAACTTAGTAAAAGAATAAAATAAAATTGTTGTTGTTTTATTAAATATAACGAATGAAATATAATAAAAATAAATAAAAATAATAATTATTTTAAATTAAATGAATATAAATTAAATTAAATTTTTGTATGTAAAATACTTATTTTCTGTATTTTCATTTAATTTAATTTATATTCACATATAAAATGCGTTTACTTTAAATTATAATTGATTTTTGATTCAGCTTTCAATTAATATAAAATAACAAAAAAAAGGTAGAAATTAAAATGGTGTAAAATAAAATAAAATGGACTTCAATAAAATAAAACAAAAAATTTATTTAAATTAAATGAATGAAAAAAGAAAAAAGAAATTTCATAAAATCAATTATAATAAAATAGAATAGAAGCCAGCATTCCAGGCAAGTCAATGACGAACGAAATTTCTTTCATTGGTTTTGTAAAAAAAAAAATTAATTTAATTTAATTTTTAATCTACTATAGTAACCCGTTTGAATTTATATTCAGCCAATGGAAAAACTCTTTTGCGGTGTTCAAGCCGCTTTCTTGTTGAACTTTTTTTCCCACATTAATAGTACTAGGGTTAAAAGTATATCTCTAAAAATTTACTTTTAGTTGAGTTGAGTTCATGCGGGCTGTTGGTCAGAGACCAACGTTATTAGGCATAGAGGCCCATTGTAATACGGCTGTTGTATAAACCAAACGTGGCTCAGCAAGACAATCGAAAAAGTATTTTATAAAAAACAATCTTCGCATGGAAAATTTTAGCATATACAGACTGGGATACACCCGCATCGTATGTTTGGTTTATTGCCGTTAGAAAGGCCACTTCATTCGCACGCTCGTTCGCCGCGCATTTGCGAATGTTCGGGCATCCAGATCAAGGCTTTGCTACATTTGCTCGAGAGCATCTTGAGAGCCTTTTAACTGTACTTCTCACGTAGTGTTGTTGCTTTCCAAGGATCGAATGGCAACTTGCAAATTTCCTCAAACGTGAACAAATAAGACAAGTGTAGTTAACTTGGGTACTGTAAATTGACCTTACAAATTTCAGCCACTATATGCAGATATAACTGTGCTTGGAATAATAAAATCGCTTCTGAACCGTAAATTAGCGTAGACAAAACATGTAAATTTGTTTGCTTATTTAAAACAACATAAGTTTCTTTTGTTGGTGTCCAAAGTTACCATCATTCCTATGAAATTTACCAAAATTTTTCAAAGCTGTCAATCTTTTCCACAAACTCAAAAAAGTAAAAATAAAAAATAATAAATAAAAATTTGTATTTACAATTATATATTTTAATACACTAAGCTATGTGTTTTGTAAGTAAATTAATTTATTTAAAATTCATGAATTTGAGGTAATTATAATTTCTTACTCAAAGCTTTAATCTCAATATGCAATGGCGGTTATTTTATTTAATAAGACAAACATTAAAACCTTTAATTATTTTATTTGTTTTAAAATAAGACTAGTCACACTAGTACTCCTTCTAATATATTTTAGTAAAAGATATTATGTCTCTTTTATTTGAAGTTAGTTTTCATAGTTTGTATGTATATAATGAACAAAGCATTCATACAATATTAGGGTATTCATTAGAATCCAATTATATTTGGTTTTGATTACATTTAACATATATGTATCTGTTGATATTATTTGTATATTATAACTTTTAGTTGTTCGTCTGTCATATGTTTTCGTTTGATTCATTTTCCATTGCATTCAAGCGACCACGCATACATATGTATGTATGTATGTATGTATGCATATGTTTTAAATTAATTTCACTATGGTTGTTTTGGTATTATATTTAGTACATACCGCAGCTCAACAATAAATTTGTGCTTTCATTTTTCCATCCGATCTTCGTTGCACCGCAAGAATTATTTTCACTACTTGTTTATTTTATTATCTACTTGCAAAATATTTATGCAACTACAGTTATTTCGTTCATTAATTTTTCAATTATTGTTTTTATAATTTTATTGATTTTTATCATATTATAATTATAATTATTTTAATACAAAGGCTACAAAGGGAGTAGAGAAACTTGATTTACGTTTTTTCTCTACATTTTTGGTCGACATACAAACATAAGTGGTCTTTACATATGCATGTATATACATATATAACTGTAAATACTAAATATTCTTACTAGAAAAGTATAAAGAAATTTTGATATTATTTTCCATCACATAAATGTACATATATGTACACCCGTTTGTATGCTTGTAAGCGATATTTATTATCTGAGTATATTTATAGCATAAATTGGAGTTTTAAAGTCAATATTGATTAGGTGCATAAAAAGATTACTAGAGGGACATACTCGTACATATGCATGAATGTGTGTGTGTGTGTGTTTGGTGTGAAAATTTCATGCATTCAGTCTAGCCGGTACCAATCATAAGGATTCAATACACTCGCTCATATAAAGAGAATTTTTCGTTTATCTTGAAACCATTATTATTTTATTTTTTAATTATAAAAAATAAATGAGGTTAAAAATATATTTTCATGGGAAACACGTACTTGCAGCTGGAAGTAGTGAAAAGAAAATTTAATTACTCAATCGTCTCCCAAAAACTTTACCCTAAAGCTTTGCCAGTCTTAACCTGAATTTAATTTCAAACTACACGTATTTACTGCTAAACCCCGACATTTTTAATATTTCATTGTCGTTTCTAAAACAATAAGTTGAAAACTATGATATAAATTAGCAAAAATTAAAATTATAAGTTATTACCGAGTGCGAATTTATAAATTTTCACTAGAAATTATAAAAATTTATTTCAAAGTGCGGCATAACTCAAACAAGTATACATATTTTGAATAGAAAATTAAGCTTTATTTCAATAAAAGTTACTAGTTTCTGGAAAAATGTTGCTATTAAAGGTAAGCGGAGAGAGTCGTGTTTTTATGCATTGAACATTTATTTTAAAGAATTTATTTCGAATTACTTGCGCTTCCGTGTTGAGTTGATTTTAACAAGGAAAGAAAACGTAAGACTACTATAATTAAAAAAGATGCAGCATGGCCATTCCATTGGTTTATTGGAACTATTTGTCATAGCGATATAGTAAACCAGCTTATAACACGATTAAGTAAATAGTACTATATCCTGCCAAGGTTAGACTTCAACAGTCGCCACTCCATAAGTGAATGGAGAAGAGATTTCGGTTCTGATGGCCAATGAGACAAATCAATAACTACGAGAGAATACATTTTATACTCGGATGGCATGGCTGGTCTTATCATCATCAGTAGTAAATTCAAGCATCGCTAACAAATGTAGGAAGGCGCTAAGCCTTCTGGCGTATCAACTCGACATTGTTTTTATTTTTTTATTCATGTATAACAGAACCAAAACAAAGGGTTGTGAAATAATCCAAAATATATACATATATGAATATACCTATAGCCACAATAACGGGCAATCATTTCTCTTATAAATTGGACACATAATCCATGGAATTCATCACAAACCCTTTAATCGCTGTCTACACAATCCAAATAATTGAAAAATCAGTTAGATCAGAATATAGAAAGAACATGTTTACTTTGTAAATTAAATTTCTTTAAACGTTTTTATGCCTTAAATTTGGTTTGTGGGTTTATTTATTGGAAGGAGAGGCTGAAGAGATGACCGCACCATTGAAGCGGTTTAATGTGCTCTTGGTTGATAATTAAATAAATAATATATATTTTGGTTAAGGGCAAACTATACAACATACTCGTAAAAGTCTATAGAGACAGTCTATTGACTTATTTTTGCAAATAGGTTATTTGTTTTTATTAATTTCAAATATTTTTTAGACTTGATACGTATTTATGTATAATATTTAACAGCCAAACTAACACAACTTTGCTAAATGCTTTACTAACGATTAATGGAGTCAAATATTTCTTGAATCTGTTAATAAAATTTTGAATTTCGCATTACATTTGATTTTATAGTTCCAAAATAACGAACACACCAACGCGCATATTTGGCACCATTATACTGTTATGCATATTTATAATTCTCCATATAAATATAACTTCATACATATATTATTCATATTCAATATTTTAAATTCAACAACGATTATCTTTGGTTTTAAATGGAGATCAAAGAAAAGCTCACGCAGATTTTTGCTTAGGCTTTCCATTCTACTCATACCTCTCTATGCACTTCCTGAACTTGCATATATTGTATATGTAGCTGTGTGCCTTAAGCTTTGGATTTCTGTCTGCGCCAGCAGCAGAAAACTTTATATCCTAATTATAGATTTGTTTGCGTACCTGCCCCGCCGCCTCCACCACTTATGGCTGTTGCGGCCGCACCTACGCCGATCCCGCTAACACCAGCGCTTACCGTACTCACGCCCATGCCAGTGTGTTGTAATGGTAGACTTATATTGCCACCACTAGTTAACAGTTCATGTTCAGTTTTTGCTTGTCGCAGCCAATTGCGCAAATCTCTGGTACGTTCCACAAGACTCGTGGTATAGTTGACCGCACGTGGACTTTGTGATACAATTGTATTTGCGGCGAGTATGGCGCCGCCCATGGAATTTTGCATACGTCCTGTGGCCAGTTGACGATATGTCTCCAAACGATCGGCCAATGTTGGTATGGATTGTGGTGCATGCATAAGTGCTGTGGTTGTGCCAGCATTTTGGGGATTGACATGTGACGTGTTGGCGGCGCTTACACCGGCGGAAAGCATGTGTGACCAATTCAAGTCAGATGGTGAAATCATGGGTATGCCTGTAAGATAAAGAGCGATGAATATATATTCACTAAAACTCAACTGGAAAAGCATATATATATATATATTACCTCCGTGTTGTTGACCTTTACCGAGTATATCAAGTATTTCACGTATTTCGGCATTAAGGATTTCCAGATTTTGTATACATTCCGTTGATTCCTGGTGGTAGTTTTCCTTACGTTTATGTAAGTTGTGCGTATCTGCGCCACTGGCGAAATCAGTACTACTAAATCCTGAGCTCGAATGTGATGAAAGATCACTTAATGTGGCATCGTCCTTCTGCTCCACACCTAGCAAGTCCATTGTGGGTTTTTCCTTTTCATAAATCCTTGATAGACTCTGCTCCAAATGACGCAAACGTATCACTTTCTCACCCAACAGCGCTCGAGTGCGATGTAAATTAACTTCCATTTCGGTCAATTCTTTCTCTTCTTGTATAAGTTGATCCAATGAATGACGTGTTGTGGAAGCCTTATGGCGCTGTTTGATCTCCCGCTGCCGTGCACGGAAATTAGTACGCTGCGTACGCAAGGATTCTTTGGCACGGCGCACGCTGTCACGTTCCAAGTGTATGCGGTGTTTAAAGAATTCAAGTTCGGAACTGTTGCCAGCACCGGCACGATCGTTGGATATATCTGAGAACGGATAGCGCAAATGGTATGTTGTGTCGAGTGTGTTGTCTGGGAATTGATCTTCCAAATCTTCTAGCTTCTGCAGTTGATGTCTTAAGTTCTCAACCGGTGTACATGGTCGATCGCTTTTATAATTATCCGAATTTAGACGCGATGTTGAGGCGGACTTCAGCCGCGAGAATACTTTTTTGCGTTGTCCATTGCCCCGCCCATTATTATTATTCTCTTGATTACACTGAAAGGCAGCCTCTGAATCGGAGTTGCCGTTGTCGCTCAATATAGGCGCAGGCAAATAACGTCCCTTACTATAGTTATTCGAGATAGTCGTGTCTGACTGACTGATAGAAGTTGTGGTGTCATCTTGAACTTGCAAGTGTTTAATGTACTTCGAGGCGATGCCCGGTTTGCGTGTCGTTGGAGGTTGGGCACGCTCATTAGAGCGTTCGCGCATAGTGTTGCCATGTTCCTTGCTACTGATTGCCGGTGTTAGATGTGTTTTAGGTGGCACCGGTGGTTTTGCGTGCTTGCCACCTAACAGTGAGTGTGGTACTACACCAATACTGGCAACACCCCCATGATCTTGACAGGATGTCGACAAAGAAAGTGACCGATTTTCGCTATTGCCAATCGATGGTTTATTCGATATGGATCTCTCAGTCTCTGAGCCAGTGGTAGTAGTGTTGGTGTGCAGACTCTGTTGGTGTAGCGCTTGTGCCTCTCGTCGTCGATTTCGACGCTCCAACGACAATTTTACATCTGTCTTTAGACGCACGTATTTTTCCTTCAAGCAGCGATATTTATCTTCCAAGAGGCGCTTTTCACAACGTACTTTCTCATATAGCCGATCTTCACCGCTTTCACGCATACGTTGACGCTCCAAATCTAATTCGTGCGCTAACTTGTCGCGCATTTCGGCATGCTTGCGGGCATGTTCCTTTTTAATGATTTCCTCCTCACTTTTCAGGTCTCGTTCAAGGTCATGTAAGATTTCGGCGTGATTTTTCTGTAGTGTAGCCATATGTGTTTTGTGCTCATCTACCACAGCCTTACGTTTCATATTCAGTTCTTCCTCCAATTGCGCACGATATTCGTTCAACCGCGTTTGAAATGTTTGTTCCAATTCATGTCGGTGCGATGTTAAGCGTGAATCGTACTCTTGTCCAATACTTTTCAGCTTGTAACCGTGCTCAATCTTAATCGCGTCTATTTCCCTTTGAAGCTTTTCCTCCAAACGTTCACGTTCCTCTTTCAGTGCTGCTTCTTTCTCCTTCTCAACCTTTTGTCTGAGCATTTCATTGTCCTTACCATTTTCCCGATCCTGGTGTGTGCCGCTGTAGGCTCCCCGATCAGACTTTTCAGTGTCTTTTTTCAGAAATCCAACTAGTTTGGAGGCCACCTTTAATGTACGCAAACTGGATTTCTCAAATCCGGATTTTGCCTCAGATATCTCGTGCTCTCGGCTACTCTTAGGCGCACTTTCTTCAGTTTCGAAAGGATTTGCCGCAGGTACAATTGAATTCACAGAGTCCTGTTCGGATTTATTTATAATGAAGCTCCGCACCGAACTACCTTTTGATTCAGAATCTGTGTCCTCGTACATCGGCTTAATCGTGGTAGAACTATCTTTCAGTTTTTCAAGATAACTCACTACGGAAGCGGGTTGCGGTATACTACTACCCGATTCCGTGCTCTGTGAGCGGGCCAACTCCGTAAGTTTTGCACGATCACGTTCTGGTAAGTCCATAGAAAAGCTCTGGGCTTTCAACATTTGTATTGTTTGCGCCTTTGGCACTGATATCACTTGTATATCCTTAATAAGTTTATCGTCGTTTACCAAGAACGGGTTAAGACTACGCGAAACACCGCCCTCAGCACCAAGTGCGCCATATCCAACACATCCATCAAGTTCATCATCATCACCATTGTCATCATCCCATGGATCATCGTCTACAGCTTCATCATCATCGGAGTAAACTGAAGCTTCAGGACTTTGTGTGAGCTTCCTTGAACTGCTCGGCTCTTCCTCCGGTGAACCACGTATCTTCGTATCTTCCAAATTGAAGCGTACACTCTTTTTGTCTTCACCACCTAACCCGCCGTTCTCGGCATCATCTCTATCCAGTCTTCGACGCATGTCGGTTAAGCTTGAATCCCGTAATATGCTTTTTACACCTGGTGGTGTGCCAGCCATACCTTCAACTATAATATTACTGGAGCTTGTGCTCATTAACATCGCGGCAGTAGCTTGATTTAGACCCACTTCCATTTGTTTCCGCGACTTGAGGAACATCGAACCAGTTCCGGATAAAACAAAAGCTCTCTTATCTGAACCACCCGCTGCTCCAGCGTCAGGCTCCGATTTATTAGCGGCTGCTAATTTCGAGGAGAAGCTCTCGCCAAATTTCATAGCTAATGAGATTTGCGGGTTGGTTTTGGTTACTTCAAAACGAGATGCTTTCACCGGTTGAAAGTTCAGGCCAAAATTTTTACTTCTCGACTCCAGAAAACGACTAACACCACCACTGAATCCGCTAGTACTTGTGCTGTTTGATGTTGAGCCCGAATTACTTGATAATCCTACACCCACGACACTGGAAGCGTTAGCGCCTACTCCAATCGCACCAGCAAAGGCACCACTACTAACACACCTTGCGGTAGAATTTGTATTTATATTGCTTACCGGCGAAGACATTTCATTTGTGTTGTTCGTATTGTCACATTCATCATTGCCTTGCAGGCTACGAATACCCGAGTCCAGTTGGGATGCATCGTCTGAATTGTCGATGATAGGTGTGGCCGCTATTATTGTTGTATTCTTTTGACGCGCCTGTTCAACTAATTCCCGATACACCGCATCAAGGGGATGGTCCCATTGCGATTGCTTCGTTTTTAAATTGTAATAATAGTGACCGCATTTCTCCTCGGAGTAACTGCAAACGAAATATAACGAAATTAGTTATTGTGGGAATCATTAATAATATTAATACTTAATTGTTGGTAAAAATGGGATTTTCTTTTTATTGCAAATTTAATTATGTTTTTTTGCTACATTTACATTACAATCTAACCACCCGGAACACGGTAACTGTGGGGTTACGTTTAAAATTCCCCCAACATTGGCACCAAAGACCATTTTGAAAATAGCGAATGAAGAGCAGAACGATGAGGAACGTCGTTCTGCAGAGGAGAGAAAGAGACTGAAAAGTTAGAATCGACTGCAACGCAAAAAGTATGGGAATGATGCCAAGAGTTGATAAGAGACATATTTAAAAACTACGAAATGTAGGCGAGTAACTTTAGAAGCTGGCCGACGAGCGGAATGTTCGAAAGTTTTATGCAAAGATGCGGCAACTTTCAGAAGGTTTGAAAATCGGAGCACACTCATGTCGGACGAAGTGTGATCTGCTCTTTAATATCTACCGTATGGTCGGACCTTATTGGTATGGTCTTAGACTTGGTAGATCTGTTATTGACCAGATATTCACTTTGCGCAAATCTTAGGAAGGACATCTTTGCCATTACTTCTAATGAAATGTATAAGACGGAAAATAATTCGGAATAACTTCTCATTAGCGCTTCTCAGAGCCGTCCGATAGAAGGAGATTTCAAGCAAGACGATTCCTTTTCAAACGATTTCTTCAACCATACGCTGGGGAAAACAAGAGCGGACAACTGCTGGCGTATACCGTTAGTAGTGATAACGTTGGTCTCAGTAATCGTTAGTTTTGAGTCTCGAAGTAAACGAGAGAGTAAGCGCATTAGCGCTATATGACGATATTGTCATGGCTCTGCAGAAACCTTTGATGAATAAGTAATATTTTTATACGTTTTATCTTGCAAGTTTAGCATCCGGTTATGGACGGCCGCGCTAGCGTACTGCCATTCGGAAGGCCAGGGTCCAAATTCTGGTACCACAAACATCGAAATATTATAGAAAACTAATTTTATAGATTATTCTGTCCATTTCATTACATTCCATTATATATTATTAAATCTGAATGTGAATTATTGGAATGAACTCGATGGGCAGAAAGCAATATGGTAGTAGGCAAGCGAGAACAAACAAAAAAATTGGTTTTTCAAAATGCGAACATAAGCAGTTCTCATAAAATTACCTAAATTAAACAAAGCTAAGAAAATTTCGAGAAGCCCATGAGAAACAAAATAAAAATAAAAATCAAGCAAACTGAACCATAAATAAGAAGATAAAGAAACAGTTTCTGCATGTTAATCTATGGATACCGTGAACGCACGCACCGCTCTTTCACAAAGTCAACGAAGTTAAGTCAACGAATGATGTCATCATCGGTTATCGAACGAACCAAACAAATCAAATATATGCTCGGTGACCATGGGTCCACTTCAGACAAATTTCATACATTAATTCAAAGAATAGAAACGTTTTTTTTAGTAGATCGGTCCTAGGTACTATTTTTGGAAATAAAAGTAAGCCAAGCAAAACGCTACGATGTACCAAATTTCAAGTAAATTGAACTATAAATTCTAATTTTTCGAATATAACACTCCCAAGGTCCTCTTCCAGGTATGAAAAATAGATGTTTTGTTATTTTCAGACTTACTGAAAATGCACCTAAAAATTCATTAAAATTAGTAAAGCCGTTTCGGAGGAGTATCGTGTGACACGAGAATTTTATACAATACTATGGTAATTGAATAAAGGAGAAATTAAACTTCTAAAAAACAAGTCGAGCATTATAATTACCTTATATATAAATATAAATATATATGCACACAAACATACCATATTTTCCAATCGCTTGGCAATGCTTGCATTAATCCCTCTTTGGCTAAATATAGTAAGTGAGGCTCTTTTACTGGATCAATGCCAACCATCATAGCATAATCATTGATTTCTAAAATGTAATAAGAAAAGTTATTTAATATTTTTAAAGGAATACATAATTTGTGCAATTTTTTTAATACATTTAGCAATTTACTTCAATTTTAATTCTTTTATATTAATCATAGTAATGCACACATATACAGAGGCTCACAGCCAAAGTGATGCAGTAAAAAAAATTAATAAATTTCATTTTTTTTTTTTTAAGAACAAAACTAAAATTGTATGTTAAGGCATTTAGGCATGGATTTCACTAACTTCTTCATGTAGTCTCGAGCATTCTGTTTGTAGGGCTTTTTTTAAGTCGGCTTTATTTCGAATCTCTTGTTCCAAAACAGCCCACAGATTCTCATTCACATTCAAATCTGGAGACTGTGCGAACAGTTCCAAATAAGTCAACTTTTCCCAACACCTGATTTGTGTTTCGGATCATTATCTTAATAGTACCGAGCTAGGCAAATCAAAATTTGATAAGTGGGATCAGCGTTTCCAAGGAATTACGCCAAAAATTTCTGAAAAAAATCATTACTCCTAAGCAGATGAAAGTGGCACTCCAAAAATTTATTCATTCGTCAAAGGCAGCTCTCTTTTTCAGCTACCTAAAAAGATTTTGCTTAGAAAACATTTAAAGCTGGATTGTTGTGCCACACCCAAATATCTACCCCGTTACTGCAGATACCGACAAAAACCTTTTAACCTCGTGGAATATTACTATTCCTCCATTTTTTCTTGTTTAACTATGTTTTTTTTCAGTTACATACATATTCACGTTAATCTATGTTAGAAAATGACGCAGTATCGAATGGCTCCGGAAAATCTCTCCTATCCTTGGTTCATTTAAAGTACACCAGATTAAAGTCTCGATCATTTTTTCCGAATCTTTGCTATATTCATGATTCCATAATACGTATTATATAATGGAACAACTATATCTATTATCGGCTCTTCGGGAAAGAGCTCTTCTGGTAAAATAGCTATGAAGTCAGTGAAAATAATATGTTTCTTAACAACACAACTTTGCCGGACTTGCACACTTTCCTCTACCATTACTTACTTGCTTTACTGGCGTAGCCGCCGCTTACGCGAAAATAGCCGAGTTAATAACATTGCGACATTCGTTTCTTCTTTTTGCTATTTAGCGCCAATTGGAAATGTACTTTGTATTTCCACGCCCCTCTCTACCTGGTCTTTCCAACGAAATGGAGGTCTTCCCCTTCCTCTGTTTCCACCGGCGGGTCCTGTATCGAAAACTTTAAAAGCTGGAGTGTTCGCATTCATCCGGGCCACATGACCTAACCAGAGTAGTCGCTGCTTCTTGATTCGTACAGCTCATCGTTCCATCGTTTACGAAATTCGACGTTGCCAGAGCGCAAAGGACCAAACCTTTCTCTCGAAAACTCCTAACGTCGACTCATCAGATGAAAGACTTGTAGAGTTTGGTTTCCGTTCTCCGCGAGAGGACTTAACTTTTTAATTGCCTACTCAGTCCAAAGTAACACCAGTTGATAAGAGTGATTCTTCCCGATACGGACGGAACTTTTAGTATTGCATAACGTCAGTTTACACAGCTGTATAAGTTTTGCAGGGATAGCAAATTTAGATATAGCGGCGTAGAGGCCGCTCCTTCTCGAGCTGTCGAAAGCTGCTTTAAAATCAACGAAGAGGTGGTGGGTGTCGATCATCTTTTCAAAGGTATTTTCCAAGATTTGGCGCATGGTGTATATCTGGTCAATGGTTGACTTACTAGGCCTAGTCTTTCTAGCCTTTCGGCCTCTGCAGGTGCGTCTTGCTTCCCTCTTCATCTCCCTATTTTAGTCTTCCGTTTATCACAATATGATCGATCTGGTTTTGTGTTTTTCGATCAGGGGACAGCCAGGTAGCATGATGTATTTTTCTGTGCTAGAATCTAGAACTACATACAACCACATTTCGGACCCGGCGAAGTCGATCAGCGCGAACAAATTAGGAGATGTTTCAATGGGAAGGCTTAATATTCCAATTGTCGTACCAAAGATACCTTCTTTGCCCACCCTGGCATTAAGAATACCAAGCACGATTTTCACATCGTTTCGGAGGCAGCACTCGTAAGTATACTCCAGGCGCAAACCAACGATATGTTGAAACATTTCGCTTTGATGCGGATTGTGGCGAGACGCTCATCCACCGGGCTGAATGCCAGTAATCGACGATAGAGTCTCTCTCCCACCACAAATCTAACACCAATTTTGCGCTCCATTATATGACAACGGTAGTAAATGTCAGAAAACCCTACTCGCTTTCGTCCTTGTCCCGTCCATCGCACTTCTTGGGCAGCGGTAATGTCAGCCTTTATTCTTACGAGGACATCAACTAGCTGGGCAGCCGCACTTTCCCAATCAAGGGACCGGACATTTCAGGTGCATGCCTTCAAATCATTATCGGTAATTCGTTGCGGGGGTCGTCAACAGAAAGGGGATATCTCATGCGAGGCGTTGAAAAACTTTTAATTGGAGCTGGTTTCTACGTGGCGAGTCCCAAACCGAGCATACAATCTCCCTAGCCGAATAAGTTTGAAGTTTTTACACATTTATATAGCGAGCCGCTTGCTTCAACCGGCGCCTGCTCGCAGCCCCATCTCTGGCGAACCGACGCTTCAATTAAAATTCAGCATACCCTTAAACCGAATTAATCGGAGTGACTCTACTGAAGCTTCCTCTCTGTCCTCTCCTTAGACGTGACCGCAGTGACACGGGTTGGTTACCGCAACTTGCACAAGGGTTGCTCACGTTTCCAGGGTGCGAGTATGAATTGAGTACAGCCTCGAAACTGTAACAGCATACTCAGAAGCTTGACTACATCCCCTTACACCCAGCAATTAATTGAATTGAAATAAAAAAAAAAATTTGTATACCCACTGATTGTTGTTATCCTTCTCAAACAAGGAGTAGGTATAATTTGTCTATCTTTATGAAGGTTGTCTTTACTGTGGCCACCGTGGTACAGAATTGGAACACATTTCAGCCTAGAAAACGTCATTAAGGTGTTGGTCACGCAGTAAGTGGTCGAATATTTTCATAGTTTTCTGTGGATTGTTAGTCAAAATTTTCAGAAAAAAGTATAATTCTCATTACATTCTTTCGGTCTTATTAGAATGGATGTTTTGGTCTCTATCCCCTTGGATAATTTCATCACTCTTCACTTCATAATTACTCGGATAGTAATTATAGCCACCAAGCACACTTTAATCAAATAGGCAAAAATTAAAAAAAAAATACTTATTCGAATCTAAAAATAGCAATTGGAACACGATGTTTTTATTTTAGGAAAGAGAAATATTCTTATGGAATTAAATGGTGATTTCTATATGTTTACCTCTCGTGACAATATTTTGGTATTTCACCAACACTCCTCATGTCTCAAATCTCTATCTATACAGTAATGATAAGAGCCTATTGAAATACAAGTATATTGAAGCTTTTACAAGTAGTTGGATTATTACTACATAACAGTTGTTGGATTGGTTATCTCGCTTCTGAAGAATATATTCCGGAAGCCTTATTGGAACAGAGCCGACGAGTTTACATCAGATAGCTTTTAAAACTCGTCTTAACCATCTCTTCTTTGAATGATGGATTTAAATTATTTAACTCTAATAACTAAAGTAGGTAAATAAATATGCAGTACATCTGTATATCCTTGACATATCATATTATACATTGATATATATATATATATATAGTCGTACTAGCCGTTCATTAGAAGTTATAAACTCATTATTATTCATAATAAAGTAAAAAAAAACTGGGCCGCACATACTGGGTGTGTTTACAATGATGACACAACGCCACTACGAACACTCTTTAACTAACTTAGTAACATAAAATGAAGAAAATTTTGCTGAAAGAGAAATACGTGAATAACCACACAGCTAAAATCAGCGTCAGGATTGCACAAGAGAATCTAACAGCAGCATTAAAAAATTAATTGAAGTTAATTTTGTACTGGCTCTATCGTAGGTTAAGCTCAAATAGAAATACACTGGACCAAGATGAGGAACAGTGGAAAACCAAAACATCAGTTACCTTGAACTGGGTAGAGAATTGAAAATTAAAATCCTCACTAGACAAACACCACGGCAGCATCCGATGAGACGTCTTAACAAGCTTCGAGAGAAGGGTTTTTCTGAAAATATATGGTATTCTGCATATAAGCGACGACGAACACCGCGCTTATGAAACAACAAACTATATGAAGATACGGCACTTAGCTCAGCGAATAAAACACAGCGGCTCATGATTCCTGAGGAATGAAAATACGCCAGCTTTGGAAATATTCCATGCAATTTGATCTCTCTCTCTCTCTGCAAACGTTCAGACGATAGAGAAGAGCCTAAAACGCCGCCTAAAACACTTAATGTATGCCACTAAAATAAAAATCAGGAGCTAAAGTAGAGATCCTTTGTATTGTAAATACCCCCAATAGTGGCTTAGGAGCAGTGACTCCTTACATGAACATTCACGAAGTTTCTCATAATTGAGTTACATTAAATCCACTGAAGAAGGGTAGATTATATATTGGTCCTGCTTTACATGTCGCCCCATTGAGGGTAATTGATGATAGACAGGCGACAGAAATGAGCTGTTTACGTATTACCTTACGTAAACTCTATACTTATAGAGAAAAAAAGAGTATTCACTTGAAGATATAGTGGCTCAGCAAAGTGGGAGTGTAATTATGACCCCAGCGCTTTAAATTCAAAACATCAGACGAGTATGGGGACATATGTACATACAAAAGTAAGAAATGGGGCATCATGTATCTACAATGGATTAAAAATATGTGAGGAAAACTATATCTGATACATATACTTCCTTAACATTCTACATATAACTGTAAATACCTTGTATCTCTACACGCACAGATTTCTGTGCTCGTTCTTTGTGTTCGTTTCTTATTATACTCCAGCGTTATGCCTACTAAATTATTATTTACTAGTTTTGCTTCCATTACAGTTTGTTGATGTTTGCACTGAAG